ATACTACCGTTTCCTATGGAAGCACATAACAACTGAACTGAAGGAAATGATCGCCATCCTGATTTGCAACAGTAGTCAGATTTTTATATCAAACATCACCGCCATATTAGCTTCAGAATTTACTACTGCGGAGCTGCATAGGACATTTTCGTTAAAGTCCCATATTCTAATCTTTTTGTGTCGGAAAAATAAAAATGTCATTAACACCTTAATTTTCTTAGATTTTATATCATTCTTGTTAGTTGGTTAGTAAAGATTACGCGTGATGTAATGAGACGTAATATTAGTGAACTATTTGAAACTCCGATTAACTAGCTAAAATATACGGAACGTAGATGATACTTGACCATTAAATACTAATATCAGTTAGTTTTCACTAACCATCGATAATATATTTAGATGATATGAACACCCAAGTACCTAGTCTAAAGAAATCGGGACTTCGGAAACTTGGATATGATATTATTTAAGTTTTCATAATTAAAAACAATCTTGAACTGATTAACTTGTGATTGTATCAAATAAATCTTAACAATTTCTTTCTTTTACTGTATTACTTCAAGCCACGTGGTTCATTACGCCGACATTATTCTGACCACAATTTCGTTCAACACAGCTCTAAGAGTATTTTTATTTTTGAATAAGGCAATATTTGGAAGAAAAACGAATCCGTTATTTCAAGATACCCCATCAGTTCCCAACACACTAAAACCGAAAATAGTAATATGATCATAAAAAATGTCGACCTACCAGTATTAGTGAAATTACAGTTTTGAATATACAGCAAATAAACAACCATGTCCCCTTGTCATGTTAGTATCTCTAAATGCATTCAAAGCAATTATTGCTGGCTTTTACCGTTCTCATTCAACCATTTTGAAACGATACCTGAAATCCTATTTCTTACAGTACAACGTTAATTCTCATTTTCAAATAAAAAATTAATTTCCGTAATCCTATATGTTCATCATTAGAATAATGTTTTCATTCAATTTCAAAAAATGCGAAACTAAGATCCGATAAAAATTTGATGTCTCATTACATAAATCATTTGGTTTAATTTGTATATACTTCACAGGAAATAAATAAAATTCACGTGACTGATGGCTTCGTTGACTCATGTTAAGAAATACTAAGAACTACTGTCACTTAATAGATGCAAATGTTAGAATTAACAGTGATTGAATAACGTGGTTAACAACACTCTGGAAATCTTACTTGCTAATATGAGACATGTATTTTTATTTGCTATTTAACTTACCACTGCTTTTCAAGATGTATTTTAAATGTCTTTCTAGTCCAGTGACTCCTACAACATTCGCTGATCACCCACCGAAAAATATGACATCTTCAAATATTTGTATTTAAAAACACAATAGTTTAAACCCCCTTTGAGTCAAGTTTAAATGGGAAAGCTTATCGAACATCTAGGTTCACAATGATTATTAATACATGACAGTAACTGAATAAATTGTTGAGAATTTTACCTACGCCCACTAAAAATGTGTCCACTACTCAGTTACTGTTTAGGCTGTCGAAATTCACGTTTTCCTAATCTACCAATCAAAACACTAAAAGACAGGCGAATTATCCTATAAATCTTGTATTAGTTAAGTCAATAGATTAGTAAATCGAAAACCATAGAGTAATAGATCGAAGTCGATAAATACCTAAGGCATTTGTGATACAAAGATAATTCATAGTTGATTAATAGTAACTTATGAAAGGGAGAGGATTGCTCAGCAGTTAGTGAGTCAAATGAAAGATAACAATCGGAGTAATATAAAAACACTATGAAGCAAACGTTTCCCAAATTTAAACATTTCTATTGTTTCTTTCTAACAAAACTTTTTTCAAAATAAGACCTTACTGACTGAAAGACTGCATTCCGATCAGGCTATTTTTAAATGACAGTGATGGCACAATTCACAACATAAATGCTCACATTAAATGTGTTATTAGACGATATTATAGTCACAAATAGGCGTTAATAGTGAGTGGTATCGTCAGCAGATATTTAGCTGAAATGCTTGAACTGTGGATGCAAATGATAGCAATTTTGCACAAATAATGGTGAAATTGTAAGTCAAACTGACGAACGAATCGGAGTCAAGAAAATGGGTTTTGGAATTTCGTATAAAATTCAAAACACGTTGGCGTATAGCTTATATCCAATCACTTATGAAAGCACTTGAAGTCGATAAACATGACAAGCATAAGTAACAGGAAAATCTTAACGGTTACAGAATGAACTTCAGGAAGTTATTAGCTTCTCAAGGGAGAAGCAACAGAAAGAAAACAGAACTGAAATGTTTATAATGTTTTAATATGATTTGTAAACAGCCCAAGGCACATTAGAGGTTCTTTAGGTTTGGAAACGAAGAACTGCCCAAGTATTCATCTTCATGGTTATAATGCATCCATCGAATCTAGAACTAAACGTGACACTAACTTTCTTAAGTTTTCTACATTATATTTACTTTCAGCATATTCTGAAAGGTTAATAGCTTAGTATAATTTCGCAAGGTCACTTAAAGTAGTCAGAAAAGCAATCTTAAATGAGTTATTAAACTTCTGCTCGAAATTAAAAGTAAGCATAATTAGTAGTTTCACTTCGGACTGAAATTTGCACTGTTACCTCTTTTTATCATAGATTTCTCTACATTACACAAAACATCTCAGAGTAGCTACCCTAGTTAACAACTAAAAACACACGAAAGTTTAAGGGTCCTAAGACGTATTGTTGCGGAAGTTAGATCCCCAAAACCCATATTTTGTAATTTTATCTTTGTGGAGCTTGTATGCAGATGTATGCTTGGGCATTTCTTACCACCTACGCATATAGTCGATTGACGAACTTATCGATTAAATGTTTGAAAATTCCATGGCAATATCGATTATATATATTTGTATAAATACGCTTGATTTGTGTGCCTGATTGACCTGGTATTTTCCGGTTGCCTGTAGAATACACTTTCTACATCTTACCAAGACTTGTGGGTCGAGTTTGCTGAGTCGGGGACAACTGACAAGTATAGCCTATCGAGTCTCTGGTTGCTTGATTCTTCGTTCCGTTCCGAGTAAGACGAATCAGTAGTAGCATTCAAGCTTAACGAACATAACACCTACCAAAAAACCAACAGTATAGGTTAAAGTAATAAATGACTACCCATTTTGATTTTCTCTGCATACATTTATGAAACCTGTTAAGCATTTAGATAATTTGTAACAAACGATATCAGTACTGAGCATATATATATTAACCGAATCACAAATAACTACCTGTACAAATGCGATGATCTATGGAAGTTAACTTGTGGTAAGTTTGAAAACAGTCAAACTGAAAATTAAGCATTAGTCCATTTGCTCACAATACTATGTTTATTGTATTTACTGACTTGTGTTTGAAAGTTTACTAGCCTTTATCAAAGGATTTAATCAATTTGTGGTTGATTCAGATCGTAAAAATTGTTCTATATGCGTTTGTCGAATACTTTCTCAATGTTAAACAGAATAATACAAGTGTAACCTTTAAAATAGCGAGATTTTTACAAAAACCGAAAAACTGAGAGCACAATTTCTAATCATGGTCAAACAAGACATTCATTCACAACGTTTAGTTTAGACTCGATCAACAGGATATTAAATTGTTCGCAGTAATCTGAAAAGCATCGTTTAAACATAATATGAAGTGAATTTGACGTTCTGACCCTACAAAAATGGTTATTTGAGTTTGTTTTGCATTCATTCATAAAAAATTATGTAATAAATGATTGGTCACTCAAATACACGAAATAAACGGCCACATAGACAAGTAATTTTCTTTTAAATATAATCATGCATCCACATTTCAGATGAGAATTAGTTGGTTGATCAAACAATGGATCAAAAAAGAATAAAAATACTACAGAAATTATCTGTACATCGTAACTGAGTTATATTTTCGTAAACATGATGCTATCGATTTAGACTTTAATATTTCTTCTATCTCTTAAAGAGACGCTAAATTAGAGGTAGATTTAACTAAGAAATCAATTCTAAGAGTTGCTTGTGATTTACTAGATTCTAAGTGATGTTTTGTATTTGATACATTAAAAACGTTCAGAAAACCACTAATCGAATTTATCCATATCTTACTACTAAACGCACCAAAACATTGGTTTTTCTTCTAAATGTATTACCATGTTCGTATACGCTTCTCTAGATATTTTGGTTACCCATGTCATATTATTAACAAGAAACCTAGAAATATCAAATGATGAATTTCTTGTGAGAATCCAGACAGAAACTACATAAAAATTTGAAATGAAAACTTTATGATTTAAATTCCAACTCTAAATGACACATCTCTGAATATATGCGATGATTCCCCAAGTTAGCAAGTATATAAAATAAAGCTTCAAGACGTATGAATAATTTATTGTTAACTAAGTAAATATACTACTCTAAGTATACGAATGATTTATAATTTCGTTTGGTAAACGGATCTTTGAACGACTAAAATGAACGAACCTATCGGATCTATCGGAAGCGATCAAATAAATACCCACGCTTTGGTGTCGCAAGTAACATAAAAACATTTAACTATGGACGTAAAAATGTCATCCAATGACATTTGCTTTCTTTTGTTCTATAGCTTTGGAGAGGAAAGCTGAAATATCCTATTAAGAAAGACGAGATAAAACAATCCGAAAACTTGTGGCACCAGAAATAAAAATATGGAGGGGTATTTGTAATACAATCAAGACAGCCTTCACCATACATAACCTTCATCAATTTCGTCTCAGATAGTATCCTTCAGAGAAATAACTGAGACAAGCAGACTAAGTGTATACTTAGGAAAATTGTAGAATTTAGATAGGAAGACACCTAGTACACAACAAATGGATCCCAATATTGGATCTACCACGTGCTGACACAAAATATAATATTGCTTCAAGATAGTATTTAATGTTTTATTAATTGGTATAGATTAGATTGCAGATGTCAAAGTAATGAATCTAATAGTCATCATTTGCTTCAAGCAGATTACTATCGTCACTAGGACTTTCGTCAATAACATCCTCTTCCTCAGTCAATCCCTCACATTTTTGACTATGATAATCAAATTCTTCCTCTACTTCTGATTCACCATCTGCATAACCGGGGATAGAATGACCTTCATTTACAATTTGGCTTGAAGTTGAAGTGCTAGTATTAGATACACAGTGCGACGCAGAATAACGATTAATGTCGATCCTAGAAGAATTAGAGTAACTAACAGAACATGAACCAGTGCTAGGGCATTCAGTATCACTCTCAATAGAATCATTATCTTCTGATAGATCAGCCCCATGAAGATCTCGATTTTTCAATGTTCCAAGCCAAAACGCTTCCAAGCAACGGTTTTGTGAAAGCATTATCTATAAAAGTAAAATTTAGCTATCAATTTGAGCATTTAAGATATGTTATGCATTGATATATATATATATATATATATATATATATATATATATATATATTATATATATATATATATATAAATACGAAGAACACGTTAATATTTACAACATATTAGTTGCCTTTTATCGAAATAAATAGGGAATAAAAAGATACAGATACACAAATTAGTATCAGACATTAAGCATATCACATGGCTGGTATATTTCCCCTTTCATATAACTCAATAAATTTCCCAGTTTGGGAACACGGAGTGATAGTTCATACAATTATACAGTGAAAATGTCTTCCTATTGAAAATAAGAAAGTTCGATACATTAGATGGACTATCACTATTTAAGAGAACCCTAAAAATATGAAACTAACCTTGACTTTATAAACAAACGTTTCCAAACACCGTCTTGTAGCTGGAATTTGATTAGTTAGTTGAGAGTCACGATATGCTTTAGCGTGATTGCATATACGTTGAAGGAAACGAGTTAATTGTTGTGTGTTTTTTAAGAAGGTAGTAACCTCCACACCTCGATGTCTGAAGTAGATGCGAAATATAAAAGTCACTTGGTAATTAACGGTAAGTTTAACTGACTAACACTACTTAACTATAACACACTGAAAATTTCATTCGTCATCGTTTAAAAAGTTAAGGTTTCATACTAACGTACCGGCTAGAACAGTCAACCTCACTTAAAGTTTTATGCAGCTGTATGTGGACTTGGTATTTAATTCACACAGGAAAAATGTTTAGTAACAGAAACTTAGATACTGGCAACCATAAAAATCCGCAGTTATAAGTGGGGCTATTGCAACGAGGGGTAGATGATAGCCACTGCAATATACTTCAGACTATACTATTCACATAATAAGTGGAAAACATTGATATTTGGTTTTATCCTTCGAGCAGTAGCATGGGAAGTATATAATAAGAAGTAGTGATAAAAACGTCCTTCAAATAAAAATATACTCTAACTACGGTGTAAATTTTACATCACCACAACGTAAAAGGTTTTTTGCATATAAAAATCTAAGTTTACGGTGAGACAGATTTTTTATACAATCGAAGACATAAAAGGATTTTAAAAACAAAACAGATGATGCTTTGGTTGTGATTATTTTCGAAATAAATTGTAATGTTCAATGGAAACAAAAGAAACCAGAGAAGAAATGCTTAACGATTTCCTCGAAACAAATTAATCAGATTTTATTCTCTATCGTAGCATTTTGAACGTAACATGACAATAAATTAAGAAACTAAAATGAGTTGGTTCCACTTATTAATCAAATTCATGACAATATGTTAGCCTTTGAACGAAACTCTTATGAGCTACGCATCACAATGAACATAGGCCAAGGTATTACCCACCTAAACAAATTATTTAGTAAAGGCATAGCACCTTTCAGCAATAATTGAAGGAACAGACGTCCAGTTCGCATCACTGTTGGTAGTAAATGAATTATTGAATTGCTCTTGTTTGAAGGAAAATTTCTACTGGGTCTTGAATTTGATTCCGTTATTCGTTCAGACTTTCGAAAAAAATCTGTAATGCAACACAGAACTTCAACACACTGATTCCACTGAGCAACAATAGAGCTTTCGTCCAAATGAACTGGATTCACTGAAGTGTTTATGCTTCTTGGCAAATCACATAGATGTTTTGAAATCCTATAAAATAAGGAATTATCGAAAATGGTTGGATATCAAAGAAGTTAGATAACAAGCACAAAAAAATATAGCTTCTGACCGGCTATTTAACAAAAGATGATCTTTCTCTTGTCCTCAACACCTAAAATGAATTCCCCTCATATTCACAAACTTTTAAACCACATGCGCAGGTAAAATTCTATTCGAAAACTGGAAAAATTAGACTACGTGACGAATATATTTGAAAACAAATCCAGCTAAATTAAATAGCACGTTTATAAACACAAGGCATCGAAAGTGAAATTATAGTTTCTGTTAACTAAAATCATAACATGAATTGCCAAGATATTTCCATACAGATGCATATTATACCCCATGCAAAAGAATCTACTCTAATGTTTAAAGTGACCTTGTTAAGATGGACCGAATACCTTAAATCTCAAAGAACTTAATTTTGCGTAAGTAAAATGAATTTTATCCGCAACAAATGCCAGATAGACAAATAGCTGGTTAACAGTATTTCGCAGATTCAACTTCGTTTATACGATAGCAGCAAATATTGATTGTCATAAAAGTTGAACTTCTTATTTCTCCATCCAAAAGAGTTCGTCCAAAACAAGAAAAAACTACTGTATTGGTTCATAAGGTCTACTGACAATCCAGAAAAAAAATGAAAGTGCTCTGTGACAAGAAACTAAAGACAACAAAGCACTTACAAGATACAACAAATATGGTTAATTAAATTTGCAGTTCATCTAAAAGACTATGTATACTCACTTGACTTTTATCATTTGAAAGACTATAATGGATACTTACCAGACTACACTTTCCAACACCTCACGGCAAAATATATCGATTGTCTGTCGATTTAAAGTTCGGTATGAATTATGTAAATTGTCAGAAACGCCATTTGAAGATAACGGATGAATGATATTCTGGTGACACTGTACAGCTGGAGCGAGAACTCTCCTGGTGAAATCTACTAATAAACTAGTTGACTGGGATAAAGAACAAAGCTTTTTTGAACGATAGAACTGACAACGAAGATGGAATGATAGTAGAGCTTGGAGGCACTCAGAATAAGTTTGGTCTGCGAGAAAAAAACATTTAGGAGGAACAAACCAATAAATAGCCGAACGGATCACACTCGATCTTTTGGAGCTACGTTATAAAACCAGCATTGGTCAAACACAAATAAATGAAAATCACACAAAAATTGACTAATGAGTAATTATAAGGTATGGAGTTGGAAAGCCAAATAAATGGTAAACAATAAAACAATTTCTAGGGAGACAAAGGAATGCATGCAACCGAACAATCATTGGTTCCTACCGAGAAATTAGACCTCCCCAAAAGGGACAAACACCAATTTAATGACTTACTCTGTTTATATTCATATTTTTCAAACTAACAATATTATTTTAACACGCGTCACTAGTTGGAGGAGACATTGATTTGATATAAATGACACAACGTTGTTGTAGAGATTCACAACCTTACTAGAACTTCTCTATTAACTTCAGATCATCCAATTAATACTAACCAAAGGGTATTGTGAACATACTTATAAATAAATGTTATTTGGTCATAATAATCTTCTTAAGAACTGTCTCCCTCTTCTACAGCAAAAGCAAATTGATGTGGGGTACAATAACTACTTGGCACGTACTTCGATAAATTTCCAATACCACTGGCAGTACGATAGTCGATCAAAAAGAAGGGCCATATGTATAAGGAGGCAACAAAAGATAAGTGAAGATAATTGAACCTGGCTTTCCTTGAAGTAAGTGAAACATATTGGACACAAACTGAACAAAAACAAATTATATTAAGAGGTGCCATTGCATTCGGGTCGTAAAGTGGTTGCACTGATGCTCTCCAAAAAAAGTAAGAAAACGAAGGGAATCTCATGGATCCAGGATAATCAAGGTATCCTTAGAAGGAAAGGATTACAATGAATGACATCCAGTGCTACGTGCCCACCAATGACAGGATTGAAGATGATAAAGATCAGTTTTATGAGAGGCTGCATTGCATCGTAGGGAAATACTTCACCATCCTAATTTGAGACCTGAACGTCAAGGTCGGGGTAGATAACACCAGGTATGAAGATATCATGCGACGACATGGACTGGGAGAAAGGAACAAAAATGGTGACATACTTACAAATCTGTTTGCTTTCAACAACATAGGTGGCCTCATTTCCCACCACAAACCCACATACAGAGCTACACGGATTACACTGGACCATACTGTGGAGAACAAGATCGATCACATTTGCATCAATAGTAAGTTTAGTAGGTCCATGGAAGCCGTAAGAATAAAAAGAGGAGCCGATATAGCTCCAGACTACCATCTAGTGGTGATAAAACCAAAACCGAAGTTGAAAAAATATTGGATAATTAGACAAGAAACACCAAAACAGTTTGACTTGGATACCTACGAGACGAGAACCAGATGAGCGAGTTCAGGAAAGCTGTTAGCAACATGTTCCAAGCCCTACTAGATCTACGAGAAGAGATAACTCCTACGGTGAATAAAATACGGAAGGGATTAAAGGAGCATCAACTTCAACGTGTCAGGAGGTGCTGGGCCTCATGGAGCATCATCATAAGGAATGGATCTCCATGGAAACCATGTACAGGATTCAAGAAAGGAAGAACAAGTGGATAGCAATTAACAACAGCGGAACACGAGTACAGAAAGTCAAAGCACAAGCTGAATATACAGAAGTAAACAAACTAGGAACAAGAGTATTTGAGCTGACAAGAGAACAAGTTTCAATGAGAGGAAGTAACAAAAGCTTTGTGATACAACCAAGAAGTTAACAAAGTAATGTAGCAAAACAGAGTGAACAGTCATTAACATACGAAGAAAACCAATTATTGAGGAACGAGAGCAGAGGAACATCTGGATAAAACAATTGAAAATAGCAGTTCATATGAACCATCGAACATCGAAGCAACACAAACAGACTTTCCTATATATGTTACTCCACCAACGATCGAAGAAATCAGGAAGGCCTTCTGACAAATCAAGAGTGAAGCAGTAGGACCTCACAACATACCACTGAAGTGAGAAATAGAAGCAACCAGAGCAACCAGTAATATAGGAACATTGAATGTCTGGACAATGTAAGAGACCGTGAGGATCAGTCGAATTGCTGCGGAAGTGAGGTGATACAACTTGACGGTTCTCAGAATCAGTGATACTAATTGGACACAAGCTGGATAGAAAAGTTTAGAGTCGGAAAGATGCTGCTGTCCAAAGAAGCACAAAGTGAATTTATTGAGTAGGAATCTCATGAATCCAGGATCATCAAAGCATCCTTCAAACCAAAGGAGGGAATCACAATGAATGTTATACAATGTGATGCACACACCAATGATAGCAACGACGACGATAAAGATCAATTTTATGAGAGACTGTAATCGATCATAGCGAAGTGTCTAGGAAACGACCTGAACATCCTGATGGGGATGGAAAACACTGGTATGAAGATATCATGGGACGACATGGACTGTAGGAGGTGAACGAGAATGTCGAGAGGTTTGATAATCTATGTGACTGCAACAAATTGGATATAAACGGTACAGTACACCCCCACAAACCCATACACAAGGCTGCATAGGTCTCATGGGATCACATCAAAGAGAACCAGAAAGATCATAATTGTATCAATAAAAAAACCAGAAGGACAATGGAAGACGTGAGATATCTCACCAAAGAAAGATCTGAGGAAATGTGAGAATTACAGAGGCATCACACTACTATCAGTACCAGGAAAAGTTTTCAATAATGTTGCTAGACTGGATGAAAGATTCAGTAGATGCCCGACTTTGAGATCAACAGAACGGATTCCGTAGGGATCGGTCGAGAACAGACCAAATCGCGACAGTACGAATCATTGTTGATCAATCAATTGAATGAAGATCATCACTATATATCAAATTCCTTCACCATGCCATAGTAATTGACAAAGTGGATAGGGAAACCTTATACGATATTCTTCGACACTATGAAGTACCTGAGAAAATTGTTAACATCATACGGAATCCATACGACGGACTACATTTCGAAGTCGTTCACGGACGACAGCTTACAGATGCATTCCAAATGAAGACCGGTGTCAGACAAGGCGGTCTACTCTCATCCTCCCTCTTTCTTCTAGTACCTGACTGGATCATGAAGACCTCGACATCTCAGCGGAAGCACACAATTCAATTAACAGCTTGCCTGCAACCAGATGATTTGAACCTCGCAGATGGCCCGACCCTTCTAACCCATACATACCAACAATTACAGGTCAAGACAACCAGTGTAGCAGTAGACTCTTCATCAACAGGCCTCAACATACACAAGGGAAAAAACAAGATCCTCAAATACAACACAGAGAGCACCAACCCAATCACACGTGATGGAGAAAGTGTGATAGAGGTGAAAGCTTTCACGTACCTGGTCATCATCATCGATGAACAAGAAGGATCAGATGCAGATGTCAATGCAGGATTGAAAAAGCAAGGACAGCATTTCTACAGTTGCAGAACATATGGAACTCAAAACAACTGTCAACCAATATCAAATTCACAATCTTCAATACAAATATCAAGACAGTCCTACTGTATGGAGATGAAACGTGGAGAACTATCACAACCATCATCAAAAATGTACAAGTATTTATGGAGAGCTGTAGGCGCAAGGTAATACACACCCACGGGCCGGTGATCATGACAATTAATCGACTACGTAGAGAAAATACCTCCCTCTTGAAATACTCTCACATGGTCACGTGTGTATAGCCTCTGCCAGGGAAGTCCTACTCACTGCTTTCTCGTGGTGGGGGTGTAGTTTACGAAAATGAGAGGACGAAAAGTGAATGTCCGGCGCTTTAACTGGATCACAAACCAATGGTGCACATGGGCTCCAGTATCCTGAGGGAACAAATGGAGTACGAACCACTCGTTGGTCACCGGCTTCCATGGGACTGCATCTCCTTACGATGCTCCACTGCCTTGTGGATTAGACCGTCAGGTCGAAGGCTCGGGGAGTGGCCCCCTAAGAAAACCACCTGCTTTGGTTTGGGCACCCGGGAAGTATCACAGCCCTCACACATATCGAATGAGATTTGTGTAGCGCATATGTATTTGGTGCCTCCTTGTGCCAATATCTATGTGTTAAAATAAATAAATAAACATGGTAGCAATGAGAAAGGAGAGTCCAGGACGGAGTAGTTCGGAGGACTGTGCCCCCAGAGGGTTAGGAGGCCTAGTTATGTAAATAAGTATTATAGCCGAATTCGCGCTTAGTGTGCAATATCAATGAAAGTGCTAACTATTACCTTTCAACTTGATAGAAGCTTCCCATTCTTGATTCAACACATCTTTTGTGTAAGAGAATAAATCTGGAACCTAAAAATTAAATAGCCGAAAATCATTCAGTAAAAAATGGAATCCCATTATGAAGTGATATCAATTTTAAAACCTCTCCCTTCAAAAAATTACATCGATAAAAGCCCTATTAAGGATTCTAGTTAGTAGAGTACAATCAATTCGCTTTAGAGGTATATCTTATAAGAAATTCATTCCTGATATTTATACTTTGAAATACATATGTTCTCTGACTTTGTAATTTTGTTATGCATTATGGCCTTAGAAAGATTCTAATAGGTTAGTTTGATTACTTAAAATATCCGAAAATCTAGTTGCTATTTCTGAGTATTTTCATGATGAAACCATAGCCATCAACTTGTGTTATAATTATAACCTGCGTACGTTCATTAAAATATGATAAAATATGGTACGGAATCTGAAGTTGATAGATGAAATCTGAGAAATGCTGAAAACTATTTAGGATTTATAAGTACAGGTTTCTTTGTTAGGTATATACGGAAAATTCTGTGCTGAAAGAAGAATTCCTCTACCATAATAAACTACAAATTACTTATTACAACAGTGTATATTGTATCTGTGTATAAACAATATCTACTTATGCTGAAATAAATCTGATCTAGATTATTAAAAAAAGATATTAAAATGATCCAAAACAAAAAATGAGTAATAATGTTAACTACCCAAAATGTATTTTCATCTGATTGACATGAGACGGATAAGCTGTTTTGACATTCATAATACAAAGAAGACAAATAAAATACAAGGCGGCAGTGTAAAAGAGCTGCATGAGCACTAGGTAAACGAGATGGTGTTAAATTCTTCATCAAGTATTCGATGATTGTACGTAGGTTTTCAGATAAGGCAGCATTGTCTGCTAATGAAATAAAAATGGGGGTTTGTTAAACATACAAGTATGAGATTATAAATCGTTATTCACAAAACAAATTTAACCGAAAGAACGGGTTCTGAACAATGATTCAAGCTGAGAGACAAATGTGCTATTATATGGATTAAAGTGAACACTTAAACTTTCCAAGTCTCGAAACCTGAGATCTAGAGAGTTATACTATCTAAACAATAATCAAAATAAAAATGCATCTCCCAAACAATCAACGAGAGTGAGTAACAATACAAGTTACTGCAAACTAGAAAGGCAGTGAAGAATACTGTTTTAAAGAATCACTCAAATTTAAAGGAAGTTTGATTAGGCAAATCAGCTACGGCAAAGTTTAAACAAGTAACAACACATAAAACGAAGTTAACCAAGAGAAGAAACGTAGTGTTGCAAAAAAGATTAAGCCAACAGATTTACGTAAATATAGCAAAATAGTTCATAAAAGATTTCGTTGGACAAAAAAATCAACGATCGTTACACAAGGCGAACAAAGACGAAATAAAGTTAGAAATAAATAATATATGTATATATATATATGGATATATGTATGGCCAGATCCAAGCTAAATTAGCTTGGGATTTACCAATACTCTGAGGGTTTTAAATAAAATAACAATGTGTGCACAACCTTATCTTTGTCTTCCTGAAACAATCGGGTTCCTGGAAATGCACCACAAATCATAGCTATGGGTAAAAACGACTGTCAACCGTTCTCCTTTACCTTCAACTCTCCACAAACAGTGCTGATGTTAACGACTTGAGTTTGCAAAATATTATTCCCAGTCTCTCAAAACTCCACTACAAACTATATGTTTGGGTTTTTAGTGTTCGGAACTTACCTGAAATTGGGCAACAGGTTTCACTAGCTAAGACTCTACAATCTTATCTACTCAATGTATACTGTGTCCGTAAAACCTGCTTACAGGGTTCAAGTATGATCATTCACTTGACCTCATCTAGCCAATATGGAGATTTATAGTGATCTATCCTTCACGCAACTTCTCGTCAACTTAATGGTGTTTGTATAACACCAATTTTGAAACCAGAACATACACTCCCTGAATAAATTGCTATCGATAGTTCCTTGTACGCTGTCCGATTAACTAATATCAGTAGACGTTATTACCTCTTTGGCGTTTTTGCTTATTTAGGGAGAACTGTATAATCTAAATTCATCAAATATAAAAAAAACCTCAAAGCAAACAGGGTCATGAAAACAAATATTAACTTACCAAATCTAGGCACATTATTTATTTCTTTTAAAATGGGCAGCGAGTCATGATTTTCATCGTAAATATCAACAAAAAGTTTCCCATCTACTTCATCCATTTGTTTCATAAACAATGTGGTTTGTTCTACATCATAATCATGATTAATAGGTTTATAGTGGTCGGGTCTAATGATACCCTCTGCATTTATCATAATTTCACGTGTAGCACATGTATTGATGTTCGATTTACAACACTTGGCAAATGTGTTTATGGTATTATATGTGAAAGTGGTCATAGAACTGATAGCTAATGAATCAGGGCTGTCAAATAAATATCGTTCGACGTTGGGAGAGAGATTTATGAATCCATTTGTGAACATCAACAAAGAACGTAAACAAATGCACACGATGGATGATATCTGACAATTTAATCCAGATGATAAACTTTCGATGAATTTACTTCCATTAATTGGATTAGTTTTTTCAGAAGTAGGTGCATCCGACTGTGACTTTCTGGACTCCGTAATATCCTGTGAGCTATGCTCATCGTCAGATGAGTCTGATGAGAAAACTGTGTCACTCACATTGTTCTTCGAATAATTTGCGTGCTTAGCTATACCTAATAGTAGAAAACATAAATATCAATCAAAATAATAAAACCAAAGTCAATACAAAACAGAAAGATATCTGACCTGAAATATAATCCACTGCATGCACTAGTATATAGACAAGATAAGGAACAATATAAGTGAAATAAGCAAGCTTCGAAGATTCGGTGAGATTGTTTAAACGCTCAAATGCATTCCATCCATTTGTGGCGGGTAAGCTAAGAAAGGAAAACAACAGCAATCGTATTCAAAATACTTTATCATCACAAACACACCAATAATGTTTACTACAATATATTGATAATAAAAAAGGAGATTTCGTAAGTTATTTAAACTCAGATCTTGTTCCCAAGAGAATTACATTTCGGTTACGTAACAAGTAATATCCAAACCATAAATAACAACTCATCCATTCATTTCTGAATCCTTACTGTTTAGTGTGGATCACGAAAAAACAAACAATGATAATAGAAGCAAAAGCGCATAGTATAAACTCTGTAGCAGTATTATCATCGTATATTATTATTATTACTATTACTATTACTATTATTATTATTATTATTATTATTATTATTATTATTATTATTATTATTATTATTATTATTAGAGTAGAGTTGAACGAGATACAAAAGTCCTTTTTATTGTTTATAAATGTGATTCCATAAGTAAATACAAATGATCCCTAAGAAATTCGATACACCACACTATAAATTTCAGGGGTTTTACAAACTGCTGATTATTATTTCATACGTATAGATCAGACCATTTAATCTCCATAACCAAAAGCGGCGAAAAATAATAAAATGTATCCTTTTTTTGAGTTCATACTGATGCTATTTAGTCGGATACTAACTGAATTATCGTCACCGCATACAAATACAAACGTCGGAATTCCCAAGTTGGTGTTGCTCCCAGAAGTGAGCAACGCAAACCGTAGTCATCGAAAACCTTAATCTATAATCCGCAAGATATCACGAGAACACAGCAGAACTGCTCTCGCTGGAGCATTTTAAACGCGACTGTTAATAACTGGAGAATATCATGACAGTCCCAAAGACGACTCGGCTGATAGTGAAAATGGAAGAAATATTGGGAAGTGAGGAAAGGAATAATATGTAACAAAATGAGCTCCAGTTCTGTCAGAAGCATATAGATGGTTATTACTTTATGATTGACCACACCATGGAGAAATTTTTTTCTTGAAGACCTGAAAGAATGAAGGTAGAACTCAGTGGATAACTGCTTGAAGCCTTACGCACTCAGTTCCATGTGAATAATTATCGACATTTTACCTGAGTAATCCCAAGGCATTACCACAAAAAAAAAACATCTATGGGAAAAGGCAGGACATCCTATTTTTAGGGTTGACTATTTTAAAATCTCCATTCCCTTGCGGGAAGGGTGTACAGCTGAATAACCTAATGATCTTTGAAAAACATTCTACTGCTAGCATACTCCAGTACAATATGCAGTAAAGCTGTGCTGCTTTTTGTTTTATGACTATTCAACCAAACTGCCTGACATGGTAGGACTTCAAAAAAAGCGTGCTAACTGATATGGTTCGATCGGGTCGACATGATATGCAAATCGAACCACTACGTCAAGAGAGTAGCTAAAACCGGGTAGATTGTTAATAGAAAAAAAACCAGCTGAAATAGTAAGTTCTCACAAAGAAAACATCAGCTAAAGATCCTAGGACAATACAAATAGGAAAATTATTAAACATGAAAAACACTAGCACATAGGGTTTTTAAATCTATGAATCATCGACAAACTTACGGGATTCCAATAACATAGTCCAAACGGATACTTAATTCATCAAGTAACCAAGTAAGTGTTGTCCAATCAATAGAACTCACATTGGATACTTGATTATCATTACACTTCACTATCCATGGCCAAGAGCTTAGACCTAAAACAATGGCACTGAGATCCAATTCGCGAAAACAAGTGGTCAATTCACGTAAACTTGGCTAGTAAAGTGAAATAGAATAGCTCCAGTTTTTATTAGATTTACTTAAAAAATATTGGTAAATAATCCGAACACAAAAACAAATGAAATTAAACAGATTAAAAGAAAACGAAATATAAAACGGAAATAAAATTAGGAAACTCATCAGTGTCTTAAGTATGCAATTGTTATTTTTCACCAAGCAACCACAAGAGATGTGATTTTTTGAATGACAAGAAATGCTAAAATTCTATGCTTTTTAACATTAAATATTACATCCGTGTCGTGCAACAAAACAAATCTGATTTTAGAATCCATAAAAATGGAAGCCTGGTATTAATTTTAACCCTAAACTGGGAGGTGTATGTTAGATAAGAATCGTTTGTCCCTAGATTTCTGTAAATTAAAATAAACAGCCAAGACGAGTTTACTAAGAATGAGGAAAATACCGTCCAAAAGGTGTTTGATTCTTTTTCCCTACTGGCCTCCTATTTACCTGGCTTGATCAAGCCTAGGATTTAACAACAGAAAAGACTACCAAGTTATACAAATATAAACCATTATTCTATAGATCATTGGACTCCATTGTCTTACCAACATTTGGTTCGAATATGGTAGGAAAACGAATGAATACACCTCCAATACTGGGACAGATTATGAGCTATGTCGATGCTTAACATGAAGTCTGCAACTCCTGGGACGATTCAGTCCTACAGTCAATGGCTTCAATGACAGATCCTGGTCTGGCAGTTGCATTATGACATTTCATTACACAGCAACCTATTAAGACTGATGAGACCTCGAATGTAGGTGAGATTATCGATTAGCTTAATTACTTCACTCCATATGACTAAACTATCTTTTAACATAGACCAGTCCTGTATTAGTTGGAAAGACAAATTATTCAGCTCAGAGGACGAAACTCCACTAATGTCGTCCACTGGAACTACAAAACTTCTCCATCTCAAACATATCACCAGTATTATGTGATCGTTAAACAAGGTATTTAAATGGCTTCAACATTTGTCAGTATCGTTACGTGACTAGGTCATCTGCATAATCTAAACCAATGAAGGTAGCGTATGATTTCACCTAAAACCACGTCAACTCAGGTTAATGTAAGCGAGATTTCCATCGTTCCAGGATTTGAAAACCAGACGGTGGAATCGTTTCAGAAAATCCTCAGATACATTTTTTAATTATTCCTCAAGTTTATAACTTCCCTACCACATAATGTATCAAATAGAATTCCTATCTCTTTAATGATGGTCATAAAAATATTTAACCAATCAATCCGTAAAGAAAAATTTTGATAACAAAACACGATAGAATAAAACCTCTGGCAAGTTCGCTAATCATGTCCTATCAAAACTTATAATGTTTGTTTGATAATTTCTGTTTAAATTTAATGTTTCCTTTGAAGCTCATTAAAGTCCCTGTAATCATTGATCAAAACAAACTTTTTTCTACAAGAGGATAAGTTTAAATGTGAATACACCACAGGCACGTTAGGACCTAGAGAATTAGGTGCGCGACATTTAAATTCTAAAAACTAAGTAACCATTGGGTAGTAGAAAACAGAATTAAGGAGGACTGAACTATTTTTGGTTAAAGAGTTTTAAAGACCCGAACTCTATAAATACCCTCAACTTTCTTTACGTAAACTAACTCTGGAGTAAATCCCTTACTCACATCTCGCCTTTTTTTCTTTTTTGTTCCAGCCTAACATGTAGAAGTAGTTTGAGGTACAGGAATCGGGTAGGAAAACAGTAAAAAACGTTCGTGGCAAACTTGTTAGTTTAAAATCAAGATCACCAAGTCTTCGTTTGGTTGAATTTATATATTTGACTTTAGTGGTAGTAACAGTATTGTAGTAAATATTTACTGCTCTAATGACGGGGATAACTGGAAAAATATAGTTTTAATACGTGTAAAAAAGATGGGGAAAATGAAACTTAGACTAAGAAAGCTCAAAATATTTTATGTAACTTTTACGTGAGAGAATAATTAGGAACCAAAAACCAAACAACATATTATGCTAAAAAGAAGTCAAACATGAACTAAGTTATCAATCTGACGAAAAATCAATTTGCCTGAAGTACACATTTCTTCAGTCCCACTAGACTCTATAAATTATTGGTCTATCCAGTCAAAATGTAGTGTGATTGGTCAAGATTAAAGACAGACATGTAGACTAACTACATTAAATAGAAGGGATTAAAACGCTTTCGTTTAAACTGTACCTCTATGCCAACACATTCTTGTTATCACTGTTGTTTGATTGTCAATAGAACAGCTGGCCTTGTGACTGTGTACCGCGCGGCTAAGTAAAAATCATGTCATCACAATTATTTGTGAATGATTCACGTATAAATTATGACATAACAAATAGACAAAACCGTTTATCTTTAAACCTAGAATATTAACATTTTGATTATTCTACATTTTTTAAACGTATACTTCAAATTTTTTGTTTTAACGGATTAATGCATTCTAGAATAGTTTTTAAGTTACTCAAATCTCTAGCTTAATAAGTATTAGAAATGGGAATTCATACAGTTTAAAACACAAATCGATAGTGTTTATGTTAGCTATACATCGATTGAATTATTAGATTTTAGGTGTATTATGTTAGAAATTGTATCATGCAAACCACATATTCAGCTTAATTATCAAATGTTATACATCGAGAACCGTAAATTCATTTCAATAATTGAGTTTAAATAATAATATTAGCTGAAAAGAAGTGAAGATTAACACCTGGATATCTGTATAAAATACAACCCAGCAAATTCCGATGCTAAAGAAACATTAACATACCATCACACAGAGTTTATCAGATTTAATTGCTTTTCTACTGACTTTAGCCATTTTGGATGATTTAACAAAAACAGTCTTTTTGCCATGTTTCCTTGGGATTTGCGGTGAATCGCTCTGCTGAATTGCATTACACTCATCTTGTGAAGCAGCTGAATCACTCATTTCAGATAAATTGTCATCTTGATTTTCATTTACGTTATCCCATTGACTTTCGATTGTGTTCTCTAATGCTTTTCTACGCTTTACAATACTTAAGTTGGAGGAGACACGTGTTTCTTTTCCTTTAGAACATGTACCAAATCTTGAGCTGGAACTATTTCTTTTTCGGCTGAAAGTTGATTACATGGAAGAACTAACAGAAGTGTAAAAAAGGTCATTAGGAATTTCTAGCTTAAGGTAAACTGTTTTACTATAATGTTCCCAGGACTAAACAATAATGATTGATATATGGTAAATGATATGAGATCATCATAACATTTTTAACTACCTTGAACTATACACTTTTCTCCGTCAATATGATGCAAATTAAAAGCACTGGTTGTTTTGAATTGCACGCTTAAAAAATCAGGTAGAACTGTTATGCGAGTACACTCTATTTACAAATAATCAGACAACAGCTTGTGGTAATTTATCTCCAGATGGGGAAAAGTGAGAAAACCACTAGTTGTTTTGTGATTTATGCTTGTTGTCGTGAGATTTCGATTAAGTACCACAGTATTACTTAGTCGTTAATTATCACTTATTTCTTTGGTTTTCCTTCCTGAATACCAAAGTGAAAGGTGGACACATCAATTTTCCGACTTCATTCAAGAAATGTGATATATCAGAATGAAAATTGAAATAATGATGAATCTTAGAACTAATTTACAAATTACTAATATGTATATTCTTAAATAATAAGTACTGAATAACTGGATTACTATGTATATTCCATCTATATGTCCCACTTAACCAATTAATTAATGTTATACGACCTACTACTCCTAATTTGTTGCCAGTCTACTATCTACAACTTCTTTTATTCACAGCCGCTTTTGGATTGTTTATGTATATTAGTTATTTCTCATTTTCAGATGTGATGCAGACTGGTATGTCTGTATATAAGCCACGTTTGTTTGACCTACAAATATAGTAGGAGTTGACTGCTGACTTTCAGACTCTAGACAGGACATGGAGAGAAGCTTGCAAATAAGGGGCCAACAGGAACTTAGCTGCGTCGGCTCAAAGTCAACAGTGCTAGTCGGGCGTACGATTGGTCAATTCGACAACAATAGGCTGTAGAGGAAATCGAAGCAGAATAGGTAGCAATTCCAACTAGAATTCTGATTGGTGACTTGTCACATAACATTGGTCAGCGGCTCCAAGACACAGGAAAATGTATCTGAGCTACAGAAGGCCATACGGTGATCATTGTATTCAGGTTAACTTGCAGTTACTCAGACTCACTGATGTCTTCGATCTCACAAGTACACAGAACTGGATATTTTATGTATGGTGAAAATTTATCTTCTATGATTATGGTAGTTGGAGATAAAGAATTTTTTTAAAAATAACACGTAAAAGGGAAATAGACTGATATGATAGATGGTTTACAATGTTTTCCTTTCTACACACATATTAAGATAATACGTTAATAAGACTAATCACGTAATGTCAGAACCAGGATTCGCGACTCCGAAATAGAGAACCAGATTAACACTAGAGAATACTTGACCGAATACAATTACAAGCAGTCATACACAGTGAGTCCAGAGTAGAAATCAATGATAAGAAGGAAAATCACATATTTAATAGTCCGTAAGCTGTGGATTTCTGTCTACGCTCAACGATCATAATTTACTTTCATTACCACACATCACAGATGTTATGAGCAACAACCATAATGTAACATACACAATTTACAGAAACTTCCCGCCTTTCTTTGAAACGACAATGTATCAAGTTATGAAATACTGGTGAAAATATTGGAATAGGTTTAGCGTATCTACCTACATTTGATATGTATCAATGAAAAATAACGGGGATATAAGTCTTTAGGTGTAAAGAAACATCAGTTTAACAAGAAAGACTATCAGTGATTATATAAGGATTTGAGAAGTAACACTGAATATTTGATGCAACTGCTAAAAATAAACCCACACTAATAGTCAACATATAACGGCACATTAATTTCTAAAAACAATTTTTTGAATGGAGATTCTCCACTACGTTTTTAGTATTACGTGAATATTGGATTGCTTACAAGCAAGTTTATTGGATAAGAGATTAGTGAGAGAAGGGATGGGTATGAGTATGTTCGGGAATGGAAGTAACAGCGAAAGAACGTACCCTGAAGAGCAATCTATATCACCAGACAGAAATGACTGCAAATGAACACCACAATTAAACCAAACTTGATTAACTTCTCTATTGTAAGAAGCAAAATGATTAGAAAAACACGTTGCCGGTTGATAAGTAGCAGTAGGGAAGAATAGATTCGACGAAGAAACATTATACTCATTGTCGGTTGACATACGATGAGACTGAAATCCAGGGTTTTCAATATCGGATACCTCAACTGCATCTGGTTGTTGGACGTCCTTCGTTCTGAATGCTATTACTAAGTGATAATAGAGACAATGACGAAGTTTCGCAATCTGAATGAGACGCAGAAGGATTGATAAATAATGTATACGAGTTGAATTAAACACATTAGTTGATGCAACTGTATGAAAGTGAAAATTTTGTGAACTAGACGAATTGGCAAACAGTAACTTAGAAGCGAAAACGTTGACAGTTTCTATGAACCAGTTGATCGTTCCTATTACTAAGTAAGGCTCCTCAATGCTGACTGGTTCATTCGCCGTGATCAACTGGGTAGCCTCGCTGTTCAGAAACATGTTTGGCACTAGGACTGGACAACCCAAAGAGCATCGATGGCTGAAAAATAAGTATTAAGAAGTACCACTGAGTTATCATAAACAGCTAATCATGCAACATTTACTAATACTACAAAACCACCATCTCATCAACAAAATTGTTAAGAATGATATTACTGGTAAAAGTAATTCCAAAGTATATAATAAAACGGAGTAACAGTAATTATTTGTGAACCTCAGATGGTTGAAATAAATTACTAGACAAACCAAACTGGTATTTATAACTAGTGAATTGGTTATCTTGTATGTTTATATCTGGAAAGTATAATGTTTCGCCACATTTTATTACTGACGCAGAATGTACACAGTTTATGAACTCACAGAATGTAAAATCAGACAACTGAATAAAAGTACAAGAGGAAAACAGATTCAACGTATTGCAGTTTGCTGAAAATCGAACAGGGACAATACAAAACAGAGAACAATCAAAAAACGCTATCAGAGCACTGATGAGATATTTGGCTTTGATTGGATTGTGGTTGCTAGTAATCACATGTTATTCATGGAGTAACACCGGAATTCACATGATTCGAATTTTCTTTTTTCACAAAAAGACAAGGGAAATGGAAAGTCTTAAAATCAGAAGTGACAACTAGAGACGGTTCACGAAGACTAATCAGTGGTGTACACCAAATACCAAAGAGCTAGGAAAGTTCTGATTTACATACTACGACCATTTTGTTAATCATAAAACTATATGCCACTTTACACTCTGACGTATTTTTCAAATGAAGTGTCAGAGAGGTACCATACGTCAGTATTTACCTGAAATTTCATAAGCCTGAGCGTAAAGCACTATAATTTATTAGCCAGCTTACAGAAAACACTGCTTCTCAAACATTACGTTAACAGACATTTTATTCAAATAGGTATAAAAATACAGAATTTTCCAGATTTTTTTACCCTAGACCTTACGGAATGTAAGAATTCCTGTTAAAACATCAAGTATCTAAACTTGAGGAAATTAAAAAACACAAAAGACATTTGTTACTTTTCAATATAAAAAGTAATGACTAACTATCCAAATTTCCACCATTTTGATCTGCCTCTACAATTGCTATCAAATTTAAATATGCAGGCAATAAAAGAGGACTCGAAACAGATGAATTCTCCTCTTTGAATAAACGTTTATTAGCTGAACATCTGTCCCATGAGGGTCCCAAAGCAACTGCGACCTCACACAAACTCGGTTTATGCAATGAAAACTGAGGTAAATAATTTTGTAAAGAAGCATTATCCAAAACGAAATCATCCTGAAAATAAATTGGGAGAATGAAGCTTAAAAAGGAATAAACAGGACTACTTTTATCAATACAGTAGATGATAAAGTTATTTCAAGTAAATTCATGACATCAATTCAAATGTAACCACTGATTTGTTATCTACTACTAAGTTATACCCTGAACTAGTCATATGTATGTATATAATTACGTCAACTACTTCGAAAACGATGAAAGTCAGGGATGATTGGGATGCTCTCACATGGTCACGCGTATACAGCCACTATCAGGTAAGTCTTACTCACTACCTTCTCGCGGCGGGGGTGTTGTCTACGAAGTTGAGAGAACGAAAGGTGAATGTCCGACGCTTTGACCGGGATGGTGGACACGGAGGGTTTACCTAGGGCGCTGGAAAGTCCTGATTGCAAACTATTGGAGCACATGTGCTCCAGTATCCTGAGGGAACAAATAGCGTATGAACCAATTGTTGGTCACCGGCTACCATGGGACTGCATTTCCTGACGTTGTTCAACTGCCTCGTGGATCAGACCTTTAGGTCGAAAGCTCCGGGCGTGGTCCGCTAAGAAAACCATATGTCTCGGTCTAGACACTCAGGCAGTATCACAGCCCACACAGAAATCGCATGATTTATGTAGCGTATATGTATTCGATGCCCCTTTCTCGCCCATCTAGTTTGTAGTTCCGATGATAAACACGATAAAGTTGCCTTCAAATTATTCGGACATTATATATATATATATATATATATATATATATATATATATATATATATATAGGGCAGCTTGGTAGAAAAGTCAGTCAATTCGTCAGTCGAACATCCTTCAAGCACGCATTACTGCATCGATCCAACAGTTCTCATGAAGTCACATTGCAAGATGTTTTACGAATGTTTATTTTTTGCTCGAGAGCAACTTCTTGTGTGGCTAAGAAAAGGAATAGTTAAAGCTGTTAGCAGTTCAATTCTAGCTCATTGAGTGAAGACGGGTTAAACACCCAAAATAGATTAGTCATTGGCAGTGATACATCGTGTTAATAGTCATCTGCTTAAATTAGTTAGACTAAGAATCCTTCAAAGTAACTAGAGATCCGAAGCTTTGTGTTCAAAAAAACATGTACAACCATTTTCTTTACCTTGGCCAACTTCTAGTTCAATCGGTTAACAGTCGTTCTGACATGAGGACATAGTTTGACTAATTTGCATGCAGCCACGCTCTTTGTATTTCCATAGTTTAAATAGGTCTTATTATCATTTTGACGGTTGTAAACATTTGAGAAACTTTAATTAGCACCCATTATTATTTATTATTTCTTACCGAATTCACATTATACCATATATGTTACGCAATCCTCGATTAAACACTTATCCTCATTTGCAATTACATTATTATTTTTTCCGCTCTATGTTATCCATACTTATTCTGATCATTAGTCTCATAATTTCAATGGACCTATAAACTAACTCAGGTTAACATTGCACATCTCGAATTTTATCTGTATTTGCTCTGATGATTCATATAATAATTTCGACTGACTTATAAGTTGATTCATGTAAACACTAAACTCTAGTAATTCTAATATAAGCAATTACAAATTTATTCAGCCAAGAATCTTGGATTTCACAAGCTGTAACTTAAAATGATGTAATTGCCATAAACTTGGCCATTCGCTTTGAAACAGTAATTTGGATTTATAACTGTAGGACCTAATGAGAACTTGTTGGAAAGAATATTGTTTGTTCATGTCTGTTTTTAATCATAATTGCAGATGAGAAAATTTGGTTTACTACGCGAAAAATAGAAATTTTTTGGGCGAATACAAACAGAGAAATCAACACACACCCATAGACTTCAGGAAAAATTCAAATATAAAGTGTGAATACTTTATCAATCTAAATATAGTGTTTCACAAAAAAAGACAACGATTAAAATAGGCGAAACTGAAATGTTTCGGTTTGTAGTTTGTGTGAACACACAACACCTATTGTGATGAAAGTCCATACAACTTTTTAGAGGAAACTGCTTGTGTACATAGCTCAAAACGAAACTTTAATTAGTAATAACTTTTCCAAAGTTACCTGAGTGAACAATCTTTAGAGGTGATCCATAAAACACCAGATTCAAATAAAATCATACTGACGAGAGTCAAGCAACTCTAAACAGCTTATTAGTATTACAGATTGAAATCATGAGTCAATTGAAGCTAGACCATCACGGAAAACCTAGAAGCACTGGACGGCCGTTTCGTCCTAGTATGGGACTCCTCAGCAGTGCGCATCTACGATCCCGCACCCCGCGAGATTCGAACCCAGGACCTATCAGTCTCGCGCCAAGCGCTTAACCAATTAGACTAATGAGCCGGCATCCAATGGTGTTAATGTCTAACTTCAATCAATCCACGAAGTTGCGCTACCGTATACCATTGTCTTCAGTGAACTGTGAATCTTCTAAAATCCCCACAAACCCCTCCTGATATTTATCATCTGCTCACTAGTGACTGACTTCAAGAGATACTCCTGGAGTTCTAGTGAGAAGCCGTTACCAGTGAAGTTCAACAAGGTCTGTTGTGAGATAACAACTCACTGAAGACAATGGTGTACGGTGGTGCAACTTCGTGGATTGGTTGAAGTTAGACATTAACACCATTGGATGCCGGCTAAGTGGTCTAATGGTTAAGTGCTCGCGCGCGAGACCAGTAGGTCCTGGCTTCGAATCTCGTGGGGTGCGGGATCGTAGATGCGCACTGCTGAGGAGTCCCATACTAGGACAAAACGGCCGTCCAGTGCTTCCAGGTTTTCCATGATGGTCTAGCTTCAATTGACTCATGAATTCAACCTGTGAAGTTTCTAAAATCTCCACAAACCCCTTCTGAATATTAGTATGAGTTTACCATATATGAAAAGAAAAACATCTTGCTGAATGATTTAAATAATACATATATCGAAATAGGACTAAAGTAATTAAGTAAAATTAAACAGAGTTCAAAGATAATTAAATCCAACAGAAAAATGTGACTACTAACCTGGAAACGGCGCATGATTCGAGCACCCATCCAAATGACAAGCTTTTTGCCTTCTCCGTAAAAGGGAGATTCATTAATAGATCCATGATCTAAAATGGATTGACTTGTCCTGCACTTATCACTTAGTTGAGTTAATCGATTAAAACAAAATGCCAGTTCGTCTAACCAAAACACCATTAGTTGACAATATGAACGAACTGAATATTCGACCAATCCTATCAGTCTTAGTAGGAGACGAGAAGGTGGCGTTATAAGGTGAGAAGAATGAGAAGAAAAGTTAGCACCTGTATCTTCCTCACTGTTACCAACTGACAGATGAACATCACATGGGTCATCAGCAAGTTCTGTGCCAGGAACTTTCAAGCTCAATGAACTAGCATTACTGCTTCGACTAGTATTTGTGGTATATGTACTGCTTCGAGCGCTATCCACATGGGCAAGCTGTGAAGCTAACACAGCAGACTATGAAAATGAAGTTCACAGGATGAAAAAAAATTGCTGAAATAGAAACTAGACATAAGGAATATAGCTTATAGGTAACAAATCAGATCGAATAAAAATTATGAAATGATAGTAAATTGAAGGTTCAGAGGAAGATGACAAATCAGTACAACGGAGCCATTGAGACCGATTCTAGGTCGTATTACTTAACTTCTCGAGCCATAAATAATGGTTATTTTGTCAGTCCCAACATGGTCGACCACACATCTTCGTGTGGTTCATATCACTGGGCAATTCGTTTGACTACCTTTACCTCTCTATCGCCTTGTTACTAAGGTAGTTATATAACGTGCTGACAAGCAAAAATAAGGATTACACATAAAATATGTACTAATTTCCACTTACAGTGTCTTTATGGACTAACGAACAATAACCAATGAATTTCTCTTCTGTTCTCAACCTACTAATCACAACTCCTGAAGGATCCAGTCAGGTGTTTCGTATTATTCGGACCCATGAGATTATGTACATAAAATACAAGGCTACAATGCACCATAACGAATGGCTGTTAATGAATAAATCATTAGAACATTTATAGCACAAACGTAAGGAATCGGCTTATGATTCATTGGAAGAGTTGAAAAAGTTTCGATGCACTCCCCAAATAATATTACATATTCGCCATATGTTTTGTTATCAAAACGCAACTGAACTAATACATCCAACATATCAATCAGCTATCGTGACGATCTACTAACACAACTATTAGTTACAGAGTTGATATAAAATAGAAAAAGAACAATTACAAAATAGAAAATGTATTTTATTTTACTGAGGACTTAAGATGAACCCAGGTGGATTCCTGTCTCTCCAAAAAGGTGATAAAGTAAAAATCAACTAAAAAATTGATTACTCCCATTGATTTTAATGTTAAGGAGCTCCTTTAGCAACTGCGAAATGTCATACAAGGTAATCATGTAGGACATCCAAGATTCACCAAACAACTGTAACGACTGAAAGTTCAAGAGAACGAATCTGTGTTTACCCTAGACAAACTAGTTTCAAGATAAACCTTTCCAGTTAACAAAGATGGGGAATACTTGACTTTAAAGGAAAACTTTACTATCCAGTTACAAGATTATAGTGATGTTACAAATTAGTTAAAAAAATATCTCAAAATGTCCTTAAAAAGAATGACAGACATAGCATATCAAAATATTGACCCAATGGAGCGAAAAACAGCGGAATAGCAATAAGAGTAAAATGAAAGCGCAGAAACTTGTGAAAGGTGTCAACATCAAACGCTAATTAGTGGAAAACAATCAAGATGTGTACAAACCCTATATTTTACGGAAACTAATTTGAAAAAAATTCAATCTAACAAAAATATGCACCGTACACACTCCAAATTAATATTTAATTTCCTATTGTCTACAAGTTTACAGTTTGAATTCCTGCATTTAAGGATACGTCCTCATTTAGTCATCACATACAGCTGTTAAAGTTCGACGACAATCCTAAAATCGATTAAAACTACTAGTAACATCTCCCTTAATAAAAAAAAGATGATTTATGTACAGCACACCGGTCATACTCAATAAACGGAGTTATAAAAAAAACAATAAATTCTTCCAGACTACAAAGAATAATTCAAACAAAGAGTAAAAACGAAGGACTATTCTAACTAATCACAAACATCAAACCTACAAAATTAGTGATCCCGAAGGGAGATTTAGACTTTTTATTCATTAAAAAAGATTTCAATCAACATTATTTAGTTACTTGAGTAAATATAAATATAGAATTATCTGTTGATACCACGAAAATGGAATTACGATCCTTATTTAAATTCATTTGCAGTCCGTATATACTAAAAATCAGAGCATCTGGCATATCTAAAATATCTTTGAATAAACACTTTAGACTGACATAAAATCACAGGAATAGGATTACAAAACAATTAAATCCTAACGATACCAGCTTGAGGAAATCAAAACCTGAGAAAAGTCCAAAGCGTATTTTTGACTGGTAGTTTTTGTGTTTAATAGTTATGTCGCAAATTTCCTTAAACAGCATGAAAATGAATCAAGGCTAAGGCTAGAAAAAATATAATCACCCTGAAAATAAGTAGAAGAGAAATCCAAAATAACCGAAATCGTAGGAAAACAAACTTACGTCATCTTCATTCAGTGAAAGACAAGTAGCCGAATCGCGTTCTATGTTTTTCAATGAAGAGTCCCTCTTACAGATTACTTCAATTATTGCAACAGCACCGATTATACCCACACATTTCGAAAATAATGGCTGACTTGACAGCAGCTTACGAACAAACAGCAATAAACTGTCCTGTTGTTCGCGATGTTCTCTGATTCTATTAAGGAACAGAGAGAATTTTAAGGTGAACATGTATATACATGAAGGTATGAAACTAATTCCGTGCATCTAGCAGCTTATAATTAATGAGTGATCTCACCCTACCTTGTAACTATATCTGGCAATAAAATTGAGTTCAATAACGAGAAATAAAAACCAGTCTAATGTCTACAATTTAGAATATCTACAGAATCAGTGAGTTGAGATGATACTATACTTAAATGTACAGGTATCTGTCAAAGCAGTTATTAGTACAATAGAAAGAGCAGGTTGATTTGAATAAAATGAACGTGTTTCGAGATGTTCTCGCTCAAGAGAAAGAGAGTTCGACTATTGTAATTCCAAGATGTTCCACTGACATACAACACCCCTGCCTTCTCGTGGCGGGGATGTTGTTTACGAAAATGAGAGGACGAAAAGCGAATGTCCGGCGCTTTAACCGGATCACAAACCAATGGTGCACATGGGCTCCAGTATCCTGCGGGAACAAATGGCGTATGAACCAATCGTTGGTCACCGGCTACCATGGGACTGCATCTCCTTACGATGCTCCACTGCCTTGTGGGTTAGACCTTTAGGTCAAAGGCTCGGGGAGTGGCCCCCTAAGATAACCACCTGCTTCGGTTTGGGCACCCGGGCAGTATCACAGCCCACACACAAATTGATGAACTCTTTATGCCTATGGAAATTACCTTTCTCGCTTTGAAAAACAAACAATTGATTCAGATTATTATCATTACAATTATTGTCATTATTAATACTATTATTATTATTACTACTATTATTGTCATTTTTATTATTATTATCATTATTATTATTTTCCACATTATTCACCCTCTTTTATACTTATACAGCGGCTCGTCTTTGGTGGAAATCCGACTGTATCTAAACGTTCTCGAGTCACTGTCCGGTTGAAAATTGTATGTTACCACCGAATACGAGGACTGAAGCAGATTTTCTGAAACCACGTGCACCATTCAAACTGGCTGCCTTCAACGTTCGCACATTTATGCAGGTCGGACAACAGATAGGGCTGGCTATGTCTTTGGAAAGTCTTAATATCGATGTTTGTTGTCTATCCGAGACCCGTATTCAAGACTCTGGCGAAGTACTACAAATTCGATCTCCATCTGTCGCTTCGAAAAGCTTGTTTTACGTGCGCTTATCCGGGGACCCTGTGGCATCTTCGTCTGGTCTTGCTGGCGTTGGTGTCGCACTAAGCGCTAGAGCTGAGGCAGCACTAGTCGATTGGATCCCCATTAACAGTCGGTTATGTGCTGTTAGATTAGAAAGTTCCATCAAAGTGAGAAGAAATCGGCGTGAGAAACGATGTCTTTTCGTCATCTCCGCCTATGCCCCGACAGATTGCAGCCCGGATGCAATCAAGGATGAGTTTTACCACCAGTTATCAGTTCTTCTCCAGAAAGTGCGTTCGACAGATATTGTAGTACTAGCCGGAGACTTGAATGCTCAGGTCGGGCGTCTAGGCACAGAAGAGAGTCGTTTAGGTGGCCGATGGGGACTCGTTGGTCGCAGGTCAGATAACGGGGACCGTCTACTGCAACTTTGCACAGACCACAACCTGTTTCTGGCTAGCACTAACTTTCGGCACAGTCATCGCCGATGTGCCACCTGGCGTCCTCCCTCTGCATCTCAAGCCTGGACTCAGATTGATCACATCGCGATCAGCTACCGCTGGCGTGGTTGTGTAAAAGACTGCCGCTCCTTTTGGAGTACCTATCTGGACTCTGACCATGCCTTGGTCTGCGCCAATCTTGCCTTACTTTTCAGTGGACAACGAAGTGACCGCCATCAACGGATTGATGTTAGCAAGCTGGTTGCAACTTCTGTTGCAAGTAAGTATCGAACCGAGCTAGCCTCTAGGCTAGCTACCACTCCACCGAAAAGTATAGATGAGCATTGGTTGCAATTGCATGACGCCATGAAAATGGCGGGAACAGTCAGTTGTGGGTTTGCGAAACGTCCCGCTTTTAAGCACTGGGTTTCTTCTGGTTCCTTACAACTCATTGAAGCCCGTCGGTCTACTCCGGGTGACCGTGAGTTTGACCATAAACGAAGGATGTTACGTAAGGAAATTGGGCAAAGCTTGCGTAAGGACCGAGAAGCCTGGTGGTCGATGCGTGCTAATGAGCTGGAAGCAGCAGCTGCATCTGGTAACTACCGGAAGCTCTTCCAGCTCATCCGAGCCACTGGCAGCAAGAAGTCTGGTGTGAGTGAAACAATCTGCGAGGATGATGGGATGCCAATCACTAACATCCATCGACGTCTTGGACGATGGGCAGAATTTTTCGAAGGGCAGTTCAACTGGCCTGCTGCTCCGGCAACATCGGTCAGACTGTCCTGCCCTCCATGGCCGGTGACGACTGATCCACCAAATGAGGAGGAAGTCCGCAAGGAACTCCAACTCTTGAAGCGTTACAAATCACCTGGCCCAGATGACTTACCTCCGGCTCTTTTTAAAGATGGTGGTGACTTTTTGACTAAGGAATTGACGACGTTGTTTACAAAGGTTTGGGAACTAGAGTGTGTACCAACGTCATGGAATGAGTCGATAGTTGTCCCTATCTTTAAAAAGGGTTCACGTCGTTCTTGTAACAACTATCGGGGGATAAGTTTACTTCCGATTGCGTCCAAGCTATTGGCTTCCGTCATTCTTCGTAGGTTGTTCAAAACCCGAGAAAGATTGACTCGCGAGGAGCAGGCTGGGTTTCGTTCTGGTCGAGGATGTATTGATCATATCTTCACCCTCCGCCAAATGTTAGAACACCGCCATACTTTCAAAGGCCAACAATCGTAGTGTTTCTTGACATCAGGGCTGCCTTCGATTCGTTGGACAGGACTGTTCTCTGGGATTGTCTATTGAAGAAGGGTGTGCCTGAGAAGTTTATTAACATCCTAAAAGCCCTATATAAAAACACCTCAGGCAGAGTGAGGGCATACAACCACCTCTCTCCATTGTTCCATTCGAGCAGTGGGGTTAGGCAGGGTTGCCCAATCTCACCATTCCTCTTCAACTTTGCCATCGATGACATTCTGGAAACAGCTCTGATGAATGTAAGTAATGGTGGTGTGGATCTGTTGCCTGGAGAAAGACTTCTCGACCTTGAGTATGCGGACGATATTGTCTTACTGTGCGATAATGCCCAAGGCATGCAATCCGCACTTAATCAGTTGGCAATCAGTGTCCGTAGGTATGGTATGTGCTTTGCACCTTCGAAGTGCAAAGTACTTCTACAAGACTGGCAGGATTCTAATCCTGTACTCACCCTGGATGGTGAGCAGATAGACGTAGTCGAGAAGTTCGTGTATCTGGGTAGCTGCATAAGTGCTGGTGGTGGTGTGAGTGATGAAGATATGTACGCATAGTGAAAGCCAGAGCGGCTTATGCCAATCTGGGCCACCTTTGGCGCCTTCGTGATGTTAGTCTGGCTGTAAAAGGTCGGATCTACAACGCGTCGGTGAGAGCAGTTTTGCTCTATGCTTGTGAAACCTGGCCTCTCCGAGTTGAGGACGTTAGACGACTCTCTGTGTTCGATCATCGCTGTCTCCGAAGGATTGCTGACATTCAGTGGCAACACCATGTCAGTAATGCAGAGGTTCGGCATCGTGTGTTCGGGCACAGAGATGATAATTCAATTGGTGTCACCATCTTGAAACACCGACTTCGGTGGCTTGGACATGTTCTCCGAATGTCGTCCCAGAGAATTCCACGTCGTGCATTATTTGCCGACTCTGGGACTGGTTGGAAGAAGCGGAGAGGTGGTCAGTGCATGACATGGTGTCGTGGCATGAAAGAAAGCTGCAAAGGACTGGCTTGTGTTGGTCCTTCACGACTCCCTGGTTGGGGTCCGAGAGATGGTGCTACACAGTGGCTAGAGACGTTATCAGATATGGCTCAGAATAGAAGCCAGTGGCGATCCTGCTGTAACCTTCTTTTACTTTCTTCATAAAAAGTGGTTGTCTCCCTTACCTGAAAGATTTCTTCTGATTGTACCTTTCCGTTCTCTCGTTACTACCACACTACCTTACACCAATCTCTTCGTTATTGTTCTCTTTTTCTTTTGCGCTCCTTAGTTTTTTTTTCTATTTCTCTTCGAATTCTCATTGTTTTGTGTGGCGCATATATATTGGCGCTCTCTTGTACCAATATTCATGTGTTAAAATAATAATAATAACTTGGAATGCATCAGATTGATTAATAAGCAACTAAGACCTAGTCATCTCAAATCTCCAGAGGCTGTCAAACGTCTAAATCTGATTTTATTTGATAACAAAGTGTTGTTAATCTCCCCTTATCCGAGTAACATCACATTTTTGTTATTTGGTAACACCATTTCTCAAGTTTCTACCTCGTCAATGAACTTAGTTTAACTGATTGACCTTAACCCATGAATTATTATTTATGGCTTTTTTTCAGTTACTCTGCTGTGTAAAATATTATCCTAATTGGTGTTTCAGAACCTTTATTGCACAAGATATCTAATTACAATGTATAGTCAAATCCTTAATATTTCGAGTTTGTTGATTTATAGTGATACATGTTTGCATGAACTTTAAGATAAGTTGTTTAACCGACATACTTAACTATTCCACTTCTTATTTTTAGCTTAGGCACTGATACAGACCAGTCCTGAAGTAATATTTCGCATTTAAAAGGAGGGAAACGGATCCTAAACATGCTATTGTTTTCGTTGTTCAAGGCGATCAAGACGGTATTTTGTTAGTCTTCACCATTCATATATTCTAAATCAGTAACCTGACTTTTTAGCAGATTGATCCCTGAAAAGTTGGTTGTAGGACATCGATGACGAATTTAAACACAAATAAGGGCGGTGGGTGGCCCTGGTGAGTGCCACTTGGTTTAGACACTTCTGGTAACAGTTTTCCATGACCACTAATGTATGAGTACAGAGCCTTCACAAGGTTTGTGTACTTATTTAGTACGTCTTTCAATCACAAATATTGACACAGAACCTCCCGGACAATGTGGCGAATGATTAAGAAGCCTTTTCAGTAGCTTGCAAATATTATTTGTCCCTAAATCCCATAAAGTCCCAAGAGATCCATCAATCCAGGTCAAAAATTACCAAAAGCATCCTAACTATTACAACTATTTTATTTAGGTTTTTGATTCGCCCACTCGACGAAAGTGAACGTTAAAGGTAAAAGCCACGTGTGTACAGGTAAGACAACCTAGTTGGGTTAGATGATAAATAAAAGTTTCCACTGTAAGTCGCTGATAGATATTTTGCAATGAATAGAAACAAAAAAAACGCTAGGAAAAAATGCAGCATTTTAGGAGCAGTGTAAATGCTTCAATTAAAATTTAGTAAGACATACCCAAATGCCGTATACGCGAGTATAAAAAATATATGTTTTATATGTTTTTTTCGGTGTAAATAGCCCGAGTGGTGTCCGTTAAACACGTTGAAATCTTTCAAATTAGTTTGTTTAGGATCACAACAAGACTCCGTAAAATCAACTTGATTGCGAAGAGCACGTAAATTTGTTTCGAAAATCCCCAATTCTTTAGCACTCGACTGAGCTAGTCGTATCAATGTCACAAGGGTAGCGTCTATGATGCCTTCCAACTTAGGGCGACCACTATTTCTCACAATTAAGTTATTGATCCCAGTCAACGAATGGTGAACAAGATGACTTATAATTTCCTGTCTTTGTAAATGGTCACTCATGCAGCTGGTGAATGCTTTGATGTATAAAGAGAGGGCAATATACCTGGTTACAATTTTGAAATGAGTGGGAACCAGATCATTTGATGCGATAAGCTGATTTAAAATGAATGTAAATGGTGAAAAAAGACGAGTACTCCCAGAAAATAGTAACTCTCCGTAATTTGCTAGAAATGTGTCTATATCACTATGGATTTTATCATGTGAAAACAACCTTCCAGTAATCAAAAGACGACGTACTGAAGAGAGCACTTCAGTTTTTAAGCGATTAAATTGATATGAATCAGAAGAACAGAGAGCCTCCATTGAAGAAGTGTTTGAAGCCACATCTAAATTATCTCCACTTTTCTGAACAGTCATTGTTGGAGTACTGAGAGCTATACATAGTATGATAAAATCTTGAAAAGACTGATTGTGAGGTCTGAAACCATTGGTAGTCTGACAGGTTGAGTCCCACGTTTGAGAATCTAAACCAATTACACGTATCCATCTGAAATAACAAATAGAACAAACCTGACAAAATACGTAACCATCATAGTGATAACTGAGGAATACCACATAATATGGAAAATATTTAAAACCACATATCCACTAAGATTTGTTAGCTGGTTTGAAATAGTTAACTCAAGTGCTGAAATTAATATATAATAGAGTACTAACCTCTGGAAACGACCAATGATCACTGTGCAGATAGTCAGCCAGCTACAACGTAGGACCAGGCACATATATGCATCGGTTCAAGTTGCCAAACTTCATTAGCACAAGATGAACGCCAAATTCATAGAAACAGCTACTTCAATGGTAATAAAAAATCTCACATAAAAACATGATACAGGGAGAAATAATTAGTTTGTAGAAAGGAAAATATAAAGTAATTTTATTCTCACGGTTTAAGGGAAGACAAAGGGTGTATACGTCTAAGTCGTTGTGATCGATTCCGAGCTATGTCACCCAGAGTCTCACTGAAAAACTGTTTCACGTTACCTACAGCCATTGCCTCTCCTATCTCTTTTGTTTTCGTTGCCCACCACTGCTAACGATCGTTCTTTAGACTTTTAGTTAACCTAGACCTGACTTGTTTTCCGCTTGTCATCGTGTTCGGAGCCTGATGGGATAAGTTTACGAGAGTCTATCAATGCAATAAATGTAGCAGAAATCCACTGGTTTTTCGTAACTTTAAATCACTAATAGATGTCGCTACTACTTCCACAGCTTTTCGTATATCTTCCTAAGTAATATATGGGTTAGCCTCGTCTTAGAAATAGCCTAAGTGTGCCTTCAGTTGTTTCTGGAATGTACCTTTGGCCTTCTCGTCGCTAAATTCAACTCTAATGGGTCTTACTGTAGTTTTTCTGCGTCCAGAGAGGTGCAAGCAAATATGTACTCGTATTAGAGCATGATCATAGCCTAAACATGTATTCCAGAACGAGCGACAGTCTTCAACAGAGCCTCTCCAACGATGACTGATGGCGATATGGTATATTTGAGTCCACTGTGGATTTGATACAGAGGGTCACCATATTAGACAATGTCTCTCCTTATACTTAAAGTTAAAGCTTAGCAGAAATAAACGATCGTCTGAGCACAGTTGTAGCAAACGGTCACCATTATCTATTCGCTGAGCCGGAATACAAAATAACTCATATAAATGTCTTGCTGTTTGGTTTACTTGGGCAGTAAAGTCACCTGCTACGAGTACTATGTATGAGTATTAAGCTTTTTGAAGTTCGGAAAGCTTTCTGTAAAATTCATCTTTCACTGCATCCGAGCTGCAGTTAGTAAGAGCGTAGGCAGAAATGACGAAAATGAAACAGCGTGTATTCCTATCTTTTTGAGTTCTTACTGTCTCGTTTAATCGGACAGCACACAGGCGACTGTTTGTTGCAATCCAGTCTAGGAGAGCCTGTTCTGCCTTAAAACTTAATGATACGCCCACATTTGCGAGGCCACAGGAAGTGGCAGTGGTGTCTGCAGATACTCGAAGGGTAAATCGTGCCGGTTCTTTATATTGACAAGGTGAGGTCAAATGAATGACCAAACTTGGATTCTGTGTGCGTGTTTCGAACACGCACGAGATTCTTGAGTCTTAACTAGAAAAGCCTGTTGTCCTATCTGTCACAAGGTTCGAACGGTAAGAGCCCCAACATATGGTTTAAAGCGTGATTTCAAGAAACTAGGAATAACATTTCATGAACTCAAATCATTAGCACAAAACTATGAGGTGCCCATAACACATAATTCGTATCTAAAATATCCCTAAAACCACAAATAATGGATTACTACGTTCATATCTTTGTGGTCTATATATGTTATAAATTATTTACCCTACATTATGTTGTTTAATTTTCGAAAAATCTACACACAAAATTTCATACCATCTAGAACTTACTCAGATGCAATATTTTTGTTAAATCGAAATGCAACTCGTAAAAGGTCAACAAGAGTAGAATTTATTACAGCTGCTGAATCAACGAAGCCTGATCTAGCAAAAACGAAAAAAGTGCGTAGACGCGTTACAAGTCTAGATAATTCAGCTGGTGTCTGTGGAAGAGCTGGTCCACTAATCAAAAGACAACGAGTTATTATACGAAGATACTCAAAATAGAAATCCAGGCCATTACAGCGATCAAGAAGTTGGAAGAAAGCAGAATGCAATCTATCCATCAAGTCTCCTTTCACAGAAAAATCCGTTAAACACTCGATGAGGCAAATGACTGCATTACAATTCTTGGATGAGGTGTGTTGATTTTCAAGAGATACATTATCGAGTAAGTTGATAAGCTGGGAAACAAGCGATGATCTGTCTTCATCACTTAATATACATCCTGACGAACAAGGAGAAGATGCCAGATCAGGAAGAATCCCAAGGATTTTGGCTTGTACTCGTGGTTCCTCAGCAATCTGAAAGAGATCAGTAAGACGTGAGGATATATCAGAAAATGTTTGTTTGGTGCCGAACAACGCATGAAGACCAATGGGTTGTCGAAATTGCTCAAGAAGATGTTCAGAATATGGCGAATGATTAGCAACTAACTCCAACACGAAGTCCGTCAGAAGAGAGCACAAACATGGTGTAAACAAAAGTATTTGAAATGCTGTTGCTGGAGAGCCAAACAATAGCAAGACGTCATTATTGGGAAGATCAACTTCCGCATTGGGTGTGTCCGTAAGTAAAGGACATAGCAAATTGAAGAACGTAGATAAATTACTTGGAATATCTTCATTTGAAATTGCTGATAGACTGCGTAATTCATCAGTCAGTTTGTGACACAACTGATGCTTAGACTTTAGAAAAGTTTCCAAATAACGGCATCGCTTTTGAGCGGAATAAGCCATAGCCCAAGGTGAAGTAGGATTGGATACATGATTGTTAACGGCTAAGAATGGCATTTTAGTCAGATAAAACTGTCCCGTATTCGAACATCTACTTATCCCAATCTTTTGCAAGATATCTTGTAGTGTTTGAGCTGGGACCACAAAAAAGGGAGTAACCTCCACACTTGTTGATAGCCAACTACTGCCTTCAGGTGCATAGTCGCTTGAGGAATCTTTGTCACAACACCCCAAAGCGTCGGATATTCGTGATAGCATTCAGTCGGAATAAGTGGACCAGTTCAGCCAACAAAAATCTAAGAGGTAAGGAAAAAAGATTAGTAATTTCACCCTGAATCAAAACAAAACACATGAGAACCTAACTACAGAGTCTATAACATATAGTAAAATTAAATATCAATTGCAAGGACCAACATCTAGTGAATGTTCTAGTCTTACTGTTCAATGATAAAACCTACTTAGACCATACCTAGTCCATTGCCAGTGTCTTCAAGTATGGCTTACATTTCGTGGCTTTAAAATCACAGAAACAGAGTGAGCAACTGTAGTTTGTAACGTTATTAAGCAGTTAACCAATAATTAGACGCTTTTGCTAAATTTTTCACTGAAACCCACAGGACACAGATAACAGCCAAAGTAAAAGGACATTTGAAAGGAATTTAAAAAGCCAACTACTGATAAATACTAGAAAATGATAACATATAATAGGATGTTTGTGAAAATACAGAAGATTGTACTAAAACACTTAGACCCTACCCAGTAAATTCAGAGCAACAAAATGTCTGTAAAGCCTCCACAAGCCCAACTGTTCCTAAAGGCTCTCGTTATATGTTTAGATCCAGATTTCCTATGAAATTGATACAATGAAAGTGAGTTGTCCTAAGACGTGTAGAAAATCACCCAAACCTCGCCTGTTAACAGGAGAACACCTTAGTTTTATAACCACCACCACCCCCGCATGGCACTGCCAAGATTAATAAATCTAGTTCATGTCCTCTCCAGCGAGTGTTCAACGAAGTAAAAGGTCGACGAAAAGCCTTTACAGTCATACCCACAGGAGTAGGTGAAAACAAATCTCTGAAAGTTATCCTAACGCAGAACACTAGTATTCTTTAACTAAAATAGTTGCCTCTGTTGTAATGTTATGCTCTTTCTCTTTGAAGATATAAAACTCACTGAGGCCATCAAAAAAAGATCCAGATATAGTATTCGATTAAATTTGTGATTTCCTAACCACTCCTACCAACAAACCTTCACAAGCCAGATGACCGACTACTTTTATTACTAAAAAGATTACGACGAAATGCGATTACTTATACGTTAAGGATCACTTTCGTATACAATCAATCATATCGGAGGCGCATGTTGGTGGTACACGTGAGGTAGCATGTTGTACAATTAAATCCAGAAACTGGTTAGTGACTATAGGATGAATATACCGTAGTCCGTGTTGTCTTGCTGAAGACTTGGTCTTTAGACACATCTGTTCTTGGAATAAGGCAGAATGTTGTCTCATCATTGGAAACTTCAACGCACCGCATATCAACTGGATAGAACTTACAGCTTCAGGTGGGCATTTCCATAGCGACCTATCAACCATTATTCAGTGTACACTTATACAATGTATCGCAAAACCGTCATATTGACTTGGAACATGACCCGTCATTGCTAGACCTTGTCCTCACACACCACTGTGAGGATGTCATCTGAGGATGTCTCATTTTGCCCGAACTGATTCAGCTATTAAGTCTGCACTTTTGTGTAACAGTAACTGGGAATACCATCATTACGATTTGTTCGCCGCTTAACAATATGAAAACAATCGTTTCGGACAAGTACGGCTATCATATGCCAACTGTCGTTCGTAAATAGTGCGGGATTTAACTACGGTCTTTTTACATATATTCCTGGTTGTCGGGATACTAGCTCGCCAGATATTGGGACGGGGTGGAGAAGATACAAATTGTATACCATGTGTCCTAAACTTGAAGTAGAGCACAACGTGGTCACTAGTGGGAAAAGGTGCTGAATGTCAATGACATCCTCACAGTGGTGTGTGAGGACAAGGTCTAGCAATGACGGGTCATGTTCCAAGTCAATATGACGGTTTTGCGATACATTGTATAAGTGTACACTGAATAATGGTTGATAGGTCGCTATGGAAATGCCCACCTGAAGCTGTAAGTTCTATCCAGTTGATATGCGGTGCGTTGAAGTTTCCAATGATGAGACAACATTCTGCCTTATTCCAAGAACAGATGTGTCTAAAGACCAAGTCTTCAGCAAGACAACACGGACTACGGTATATTCATCCTATAGTCACTAACCAGTTTCTGGATTTAATTGTACAACATGCTACCTCACGTGTACCACCAACATGCACCTCCGATATGATTGATTGTATGCGAAAGTGATCCCTAACATATAACACTATGCCTCCTCCCTTGAGACTTGAAACTCTGTTACTTCTAATACAGATGTAGCTCGCAATGTTGGGAGAACTGTCTACATCTATGGTGTCAAGTTTCTGCGACAAAAATTATATCGGTATTTAAACAACAATCATATCAGGACTTAATGTATTTTTGCTCCATCCAGCACTAATAATCTCCGAGGTCATAGCAAGGTTCACAAACCGCGACTCTATAGGTGGGGTCCCGTTTTTCTGATCGAGTAGTCAATGACTGGAACGCCCCACGCGAACGAGTGGTATCAGCCACACCAGTGAATATTTTTAAGCTGGATCTTTACTGGAACGCAATCTGTAAGGATTGACACAGGTTTAAAAAACCGACTATCCTTATTACTGGTAATCCAAATCGGAAGACCGGGCTTTTATAGAACCTGGATGAATGACTATTTATTACTGAGTTTCTGCAGGAAATCACATGTGACGAGAACTCTTAGGGTCAAATTTGGCCTCAGGATAACAACATACTGACAAACCGGAAGAAACTCGTAAGTCATGTATAATCGGCTTTTAGACAGAATAGAGGTGAACTCGAACACTACCTAAAATTCAAATGGTTCAAATGGTTGTAATATTCAGAAATTAATAATCTCCCCCAAGCAACATCTAATGACGAAAAAACGGAACAATACAGAAGGGTGCATAAGCAGAAACCTTAGAGAGTTCAGTAAATAAACAAACATAAAACAAAATCTTTACAAGACTCGTATTGTACACACTGTACAAAGCTTGAGGTCAGCGAGCGAGAAAAACAAATTCAGTTTTCAGTCTCCTCTTTGATTTGACGAGGGTGGTCTACGGTAGTCCTATCAAGAAAGCCTCTAAAATGGTCCGACGTTTTTTGAACCTATCGATAGATGGAATCTTAGCCAAGTGTTGAGCTAAGAAGTTCCTCTAGTTGATGATTCGATGGGAATCCCTACCAATGTGGAGATAGGCCTGACAAGCTTATTTTGTAAATAGTTTTTAATTTTATTTGTATTCACTTTGTCAAATTTTTACTGTATGTACATTTGTCGTTAAATAACTGTACGTGTTGTTTAAGCGAATGACCTTGAACACATTTTCCGTTGTGTAACTTACATAGCATGACATACTGTTGCTTGCTAACAAATACATGGATACACACATATCCCTCGTTCTATTTTCGGTTATGATTGAGCTAACTGAAATCTAAGTCAAATATTACCTACATTTATAGACTGTGAGTGGGAATATACCATGCCTTACATTGGATTATACTACTGGAGAGTTCGTCAACCTGATTGGAATTACCAAGCATTTATAATTGTGGATTTTCAGTACCATACCAAAGCTGAACACGCATCAATTTGGTGAACTTAAGTAAAGTCCCAATTTCCTATTGTATTAGTAACAATTAACTTATATTAACATTAATATTGATCTTTAATAACTTTGTTGATACTTTTTACGTTTATATATCGTCTGGTCCACCACACCAACACTAAAGTTAATGCTCAGATGATAAGTAATTGGGTTTGGCCTTGTGAACGTTTAAGAAATATCCTCATCATCTGTATCGGAAGACATGTCGGTTGTAAATTCAACACCAAGCAGGTCGTAGCTGCCCTGAAAATTTTGTATGACGGTTGACCTAACGCGATCACTTCAAAATGCAAGTGCTTTAGCACAGGTAGGACCTACCTCTATGCCGATGACTTGAAAAACATCTATAAAACTGACATTTGAGATGCACGTAGTACTTCGCAAACAATCCAACATGAGCTCAACATGGTAGACGACTGGTGCAAACGCTGGAGGTTAGAGCTCAACACAGAGAAATGAGGCTGGTTATGTATATGAGACACGTCTCTTAAAATAAAACTAACACTTAACAACAACACTGCCCAGACTGGCATCAGTAACTGATCTAGGGGAACATAACTCACACAGTCCTAATTTCTCTCAACACATCTCAGCCAAAGCATCTAAAATGCTGAAATTGCTTGGCTTCATTTACGTCATTTCTATCAAAATCCTTCCTTATAAAGTTTGCGTAAGACTCATCGTTCAATACGGATCTTTCTCATTTTCCAACCTACGCCTATCCGATATACTAAAGGTGGAAGGAATACAACGAGACTTCACCGGCAAAATACTTAAGACTAACTCAGTCATTGACTACATTTCCAGATGCCAAATCTTAGGAATAGAACCCTTTTGGGAAAGAAGGCTCAGGTCTAATTTGATCCTCCACTTCAAACTGCTCAAAAACCTTACTTATTCAACATGTAAGATAGTTCTTGCCCGAGATTCACACGAATACGAACTTCAAAACAAAGTATCTACGGTCAAGTTTGAGAAATACAGACCAAAAACTCGGGAAAACTTCTTCCTCACCAAGTATGCAATAATATGGAACATACAATGAATTACATACGTTTGTAAAACTGCTTGATCAAGCCCTCACTTGCACTGATCTTGCACGTACAAACAAACCTGCGCCGCAGGTGTTGACTAACAATTAATATTATTTCTCCACTAGTTACCTTATTTACAACTCGTATACTTTATACTTCTCCGCCTGCTTCAATAAACAACTATCCAACATTATACCCTTCTTAACGCTTACACTCTGATTGGCAAACTATACTTTATGCTGTAGTCAATTTAAGCACCGCATCGATGCCCTACCCAAAGTCCATAACTTGTAATTGCCTGATAAGCTTGCAAAGTGGTACTTCTGGAAATAGTGTTTTCCAACAGGTTGTGAAACGCAGAAGATTGTGTGAGGTATGACATATATCCAAAAGTATGCTTAAATGAG